TAATATATGCCCTCCCCTCCACCCCCCACCCCCCTCCATAATTGCTCTTTCCTGCTATACAAGCACCCTAGGAACATCCAGAGACAGATACCAGGCAGGGACTTGGCTCATTACCCATAAAAACAATTGGCACATGTCACTGGAACAGGTCATTAACTCCAGTCACAAAAAAAAAAAAGAAAAAAATCAATCACTAGAATGTTTATATAAACAAGTCAAATCCTAGTTTTGAGTTACAAAGCATGCCAAATTAAGGTTTTAAGTTGGAGGTGAATGATTAAGTAGAGTAACTGCTATTTGGTATTTTTGATAATTTTAAATATTCTCCCAAAACACTCAGTAAAGTGGCTTGAATTTGTAGGAAAAAAAAATCCATCATTTGATGAAGTTACTCAATAAAATATCATGTACTGGGGCCCCAGGTTACCATTTGGAGCGAAAAGGTATGTCTGTGAAATATGTAAACCCCAACATTTTTAGGATTTAGTAATTTCCTATTAGAATGATGGAAAATGCTGACATAATTTTTTACATTTAGAGTCTGACTATGTCATTTAAGCTCTTGCATGAGGAACCTGCAACATTGGAAGAAGAGCTGTTGGCCATGTCCAGGACATTCTTGTCATAATGGTTGCTCAGAGGAGAAATAGGTCTGCCTAGTGCCTTGAGTGCATACACTGCACTCAAAAAAGAAAAAAAAAAAACATGCAGAGATGTGTGGGTCTATTAATGTGCTTCCAACCAACTGTGAAGACTGAATCTGTTAATGTCAACCTTGATTAGTTTTTTATGTGAATAATAAATAGAACAGGTATAAAAATTATTTGACCACCAGCAATACACTTCAACCATGAATTTAAAAATGTAATTGTACTACATTTGGTTTGTATTGCCATGGTAAATGGCAAAGTCTTGAGGAGTATCCAGTCTTAACTTTTATCCTTATGGACATTCATCATTCCCTGAGAGTGTTTCAAGAATGTTCAAAGAATGAAGCATCAACACTTAAAATGAAAGGCTATGTGAAATAAAAACATTATGTTCACTCACATGATGGTCTGTCAAAGACCTAAAAGGGCATAATCAGGAGCTGTTAAGATTGTGCAACACTTTCATCAAGGGCCAAGAAAAGCAAGTGACTTCCAGCCTGAGAAATACAGCTGTAAGAATATAAAGTAGATCTCCTTTCCTTTGACCATCTTCATCAAAAACCAGAGCGGATTTGTTCATTGAAAATATCGTAACTATGCTTGCAAATAGCTATGAACTTGGAGTACTGAAAGGCATGACATGAGGCCACTTGGAAACTGCTTTCAGAGACTGTAAATCTAACCAGAGACCTTTCTGCTTCATACACACTATGTGATGGCTGCATACTGCAACTCTCCCAACACAGAAGAATCTGTTCCTAAACAATACCTGAGGGGATTTTTGGTTTAACCTCCTCCTATTTCCCTGCAAAAATTTCTTAAAGTTGTTGTGGTCTTAGTAGAGGAAATACAGCTGGCTTTTTTAAAGTGTCTTTTACACTCACACTATAATTATGAAAATAAGAAAGTAAGTAAACAAGCTTATCCCAGCACTACTGCAGGGCATGTACATTTTCTAGTATTTTAGACCTATTTGGTCTAACACCCAAGAGAGACCTCAAGAAATGTGGCTTCTTTCTCCATTAACAGAGGAATTCTGGCTATGTCTCCTTGATCTCATCATAGGTATATTTCTAATATAACATTGTCTAGTAGTTTCAGAAAATGAAGTATAGGGTTAGGAATCTTTGTAATCTAATCTTGACCTTAAAAAATGGTCTCACTTTGCAACACAAAGCAAATAACCTGGATAATAAAGCTCTACATGTTACTAGCAAAAATGTATAAACAATATGTATCTAGTCACATGCGTGTTGTGATAATCTATCAGTTGCAGTTTTTGAAGTTTTGAATACATCTGATACCATACAAATATGGATACTAGTAGTAAATGTGAGTAAGGATTTTGTTGTTACTTACTTTGTGGGAACTTTGGTGGGTTGTCATTGACATCTGTAAGTGTAATTGTCACTTTGGTTGTCCCTGAGAGGCCTCCCATGTGTCCTCCCATATCTTTTGCCTGTATTACAACGTGATACTCTTCCTTAGCTTCTCTGTCCATATTTGGAAGGGCAGTTCGGATAATTCCTATAAATACAAAGAAAATATGTCACACGAATTTTCACAGGTTCACAAAATGAAAAATTGAGTACTGCATGTTTAGCTTGTATGATAATACAGCAATATTTGCAGTGATGGTGCAAATTCTGTTATCATGCTATGCAAGGAAAGTAGCCCAAATATTCAACACAGCTGAACACAGAACAACCATGGAGAATTACAGTTCAGCATTGAAACTGCCATTTCTATCATACCACAAAAGAAATAGTATCATCTTTCTAGTGTGTACCCAGAAGTCCTACCAAATGTCAGGGGACCAACGTGCCAAAGAGCTTAGCTAGAATAAAGAGAGAATGAAGGAAGCTTTCCTCAAACACATCAGCATATATACCCACTGTACACTGCCTCAGTCAATATATTTAGTTCTTCATTTTAATGTATTCTAGTTATGAGGTCCTACTTAAATAAACTGCTCAATAATACAGCAGCGACCATGAAATGGTGGAGTTTGAAATCCATACAGAGGCAAGGAGGGTGCGCAGCAAGCTTGCTACCCTGGACTTCAGGAGAGCAGACTTTAGCCTCATAAACTGAACTGATTGGAAAGGTTCTCTGGG